TCTCCTCCACACCAGCTACTGCCAATGTGGGCCATGGGCATGGCTTCAATGCTGGGGTCCAAACATATCAAACACCAGCCTCGGGCAGGTAGTGCCGAGGCTTCGGTGGCTACCTATCTCGCTGAGGATGTGGAGCCACTGGCCTGCAACCCGTGGGCCTAGTGGGCAAACTACACCCAGATGTGGCAGGATCTGGCCACGGTTGCTTGGCAACACCTGTCCTGTCCACCGACCAGTGTTGCAAGCGAGAGGGTGTTCAGCATTGCTGGGGATGTTGTGACAACCCACCGCACCTTCTTGGATCCTACGTTGGTGGAGCAGCTGGTGTTCCTAAAGCTGAACCTCCCGCTGCTGGGGTTCACCAAGCTCCACCTGCAGACGGACTGAGTGCCACCCTCCTCACTCCATCGGCACCAGTTTCCTTTTTTGAGTTTTTTAAAAGCCGAATAATGCCCCGCTCTCAGCTGGAGGGGGCACTAACTGAATCATCAGCCAGCAGGGGAAGAACATGTCCCTGCTGAGCTCATTCCCCTGCCAGGACGAACTTGGAGGTATGGGATTGGGGCTATGGGGAAGGAGGCCCCAGGTCCTGGACATGACCACTAGAACTGCACCCTGCCAGGGTAGGGAGGCCTGGTGGGACTTCTGGGGGCGTGGCAGCCCTGTAAATGCCAGGACCAACAATCCCCTGGTGAAAGGCAGGGAGGAGGTGCCATAACCTCCAGCTAATGCATGCACGCACAAAGTCCTGGCTGGGGAATGCCCAGACCTGTCACGTTTTTGACATGCCTGATGCTTGCTGGTTGGGTTTTGTTGTCTTTGATAGATTTGGGTGTGCAGTTTGTGGGGGTACTGGAGATAGTTGGCAGGTTTTGTGTTTTGAGCTGTAGGAAGTTCACTTCAGTTTTGGTGATGAGGTTAGGTGCTTGTTTGAATGTACAAACCACTTTTCAGAGCTGGGCCTATCAGCAGAGGCTACCACCCCTGCAAGTTTCACCCCAATCCAAAACAACAAAGTTATAGATATTTCACTGATCCTCCATTATACCGTATGGCTGGATCTCTGAGGTGGCTCCGAAGCTTTGGAGCTGCTTCAGCCAGATCGAAGCGGCAAACTGATCCAGAGCTCCGAATCAGATCACTGACATCCGAAGCGGCCAGATCAAATATCTGCCTATAGGCACAGGCCTATTACCAAATAGGAAATGAAGGAACAAGAGGGGACTATTCCCTTAGCAAACTGAGGAGAACATTCGTGACTTGCTCTCTGACGCAACTTTTGAGAAGTGTATAATCTTCACATACGCTGCTCTGGATTTCCCTTACCAAGTGAAAATGAGCAAGCTATCTGGCTCCAAACCACTATTTAAAAACACAAATAAGCACTTAAATGAAAACAAAGTTTATATGCCAAAGAAGTAAGTTTTATTAGGAAACTGATTAAAGGAGCATTGCTGCATCTCAGAAGATGCTAAAAGTTTACAGAAAACTGGAAACCTAATGTAAAAGACATTTTGAAAATGGATACATGTACCAACGTTTTGAGAAGTTGAACACATGCAAGAAAACAGAATTTTACTAATAAAGATCCTTTATTTTTCAGCATTTGAGTAGGACGCATTTTCCCTGTCACTTTTGCAGCAGTGGCTTGTCTCCTTATATTTTGCCTTAGAGTACTAAAGGGGGGCAATGCTGGACTTGTTCTCGGGAAGAAATGACCCTCCCATCCTTAATCTCTTCAGTGACGGTGCGGATTTTTGTAGTGATTTGGGAAGCTGGTGCACAATCTGGGACACCCGGGAAACTGGGAAGTCTGGGGAGAAAAAAAAGGGTAATTATCCACACATTTAGCATAAGAGAAAAGTAATTAAAAAATCAGACACTACAACAAGAGATTATACTGTAAATTTACTGAAATAAAACTCACTTGACTACTTTGGGTTTGGACTGCCATTTATTCTCTCCTTCTCTGGTACTCACCAAATCAAAAATAAATGTATCACATACTCATTTGGAAGAAAATTTAACTTGTAGGTATATGGTTGTGTGTGTATGGGGATAACACAGAGATCCTATGCGATCTATGCTTCATATAGTAAAATCCAAAAGAGAACATTTTTAATCAGACAAAAAAGAGCTAACCAAGCAGCAGAAAAAAAAGCTCAATAATCCTGAAGTCAGAGCAAGCTATCAACAATTGGCATCACGTAAATAGTGAAGGCCTAAAATCTAAATCTGATCTTGTTTTTTCAGTCTTGTATTTCAGTGAATTTCAATAGTTTCTTATTACCAAGAATTTTATTCCTTTAAAAAGAGCCCTGCCAATAACTTTTTATTACACATACTTGCAGTCCTCCCCTTCCAGTAGCCGGCGGTAGGTGGCAATCTCAGTCTCCAAGCGGGTCTTGATATCAAGAAGAACCTTTACTCTTGGTTTTGGCGTTCCATGTCACATCGAAGTTCAGCTAGCTGGGCTTCCATGTTGGTGATCAGGCACTGGAGATGGGCCAGCTGGGAGGCATAGCGGTTTTCAGTTTTGTGCAAGGTGCATTCAAGAGTGGATTTCTACAAAGGAAAAGAAAATGAATGTAAACAGTGGTGAAATAAGCCAGTGCCCCCAGCTCTCAAAAATGTTCATTTCAGGTTTGTGCAATTATAAACGGGCCCAGCTAGTCCTGATTCCAGATCAACATCTGTTCCTTGCTGATTCTGTATCTAACGTGTAGGGTGACTCCTGCAACTTGGTTAAAGATCAGGATAAGTTTTGTATACATTGGCAATTGATCACTAAGGCATAATGTAGACTGAAACTTTTAAAGATTATAACACATTTAATTCCAGTCTGATTTTGAGGCTGATCAACTAATACTCAGACGTGTTAATTAATTCCACGTGCCATTTCTGGACCCTTTGGCAAGTGCATTACTGAAGACTGTTTTTCCTTCAGTACTAGATATACTTAGATACCTTGCGTATGCTGTGTACTGTATATTCTTTATCTAGTAAATTGTCTAGAATTAGCAGCAAAAATACCTAACAATTTTGCCTGATCATCTAGGTAAAAGAATGATAAAAATGTGTTGTGCACCATGCTTGTCTGGGCTTCCAGGTCAATCTCCAGGGCCTGTATAGTACGTCTCAGATCAGTAATCTCTGTCTGGCAGCACTGCAGCTGTTCTCCACTGGAGATCACTTGCTGGTTCAGTTCTTCCATCTAAAATAAAAATAAAGTAAAATGGAATATTGAGAAGAAAGCATGACTGTTTTAAAGGAAGAGCAGAAAATTTGGACCTTCATGATAACTTGAGCTAGATGAACTACCCACCTTGGTTGAGAACCAGGCCTCAACATCTTTGCGGTTGTTTTCAACCAAGTTCTCATACTGACATCTTATATCATTTAGCACCTTATTCAAGTCACATGATGGAGCAGCATCAACTTCCACATTGACTCTGGCACCAAGCTGACATCTCAGTGCGCTGGCTTCCTGCAGAGGCAGATGTGCAAAATGAGAGATTGCTTTGTAAACTGGCCACCTCTACCCCACCCCAGATCACACTGGGGCTGTTTCCAAAAGTGACCAGTGACTTTTGTGCCTTATATTTTATTTCCCAGTTACACCTTTTTTAAAAGGGGTAAATTTTCACAGCTGAGTGTGCACCTTCTCATAATCAAGACACTGGAAGATGGCCAAAGTTGGACACTGAAAAATCGAGGTATAAAAATCACTGTACCCTTTTAAAAATCTTTTCCAGTGTTATTGCTTGCTGCAAGGTGTTATTTATTTCCCTATAGATTCTTGGTGTCTACAATGGTTTTATGGACTAAAAAGAACTGGTGGAATTTCTTTATGAAGGTTACAGTGAATATTTGCAATACCAAAAATAACATAATGAGTAAACATTAATGCAATGTTTAAAGGGGAATTTAAACTGTTTACAGTTTGATTACCATTGTTTTAATACATAATGCTGCCATGCATGACTAGAGAGACCTATATCAACCACTTGGTCATTTTCTAGGCTCCTGCATTATAACAATGTTCTTTTTCCTAACAAATACATATCCTTCTGTCCTCATGCCCAATTACATAGTATCGATAAGGTTGTAACTAGTTCAGCCTTGACACTGTTAATTATTTATTTATTTCTATTCTTACCTCCTCATGATTTTTTTTGAGACAGAGCAGTTCCTCCTTCAGGGATTCCAGTTGCATCTCCAAGTCAGCTCGGCATAGAGTAAGTTCATCCATAATTCTACGCAGGCCATTAATGTCAGCATCAACACTCTGGCGAATAGCTTGTTCACTTTCAAACCTTAAAGCACAGCATAAGTGAATAAATCCCAGGCCATGGCAAAACAAATTTATAAAAAAAATGAAACTCCACCAAAACAGTCACTTACTTGTTGATTTTATACTAGTTTACTTTTATTATAATCTTTTTTCTCTAGTTAATAACATTTTGAGGGACCTGAGATATCTCATTATGGGCAGGTAGGAGTGGTGCTGACAGCATTTATTTTTAAAGTGTGCCATTATTTTCTCTCTGCAGATCAAAAACAAACAGATTTTTTCTAGAAGCTCTTAATTCTGCTTTGCACTAAGAGCAAGTGATAAATCATTAGAATGAAAATGATCCTTCAGAAAATGAAGTGATTGGATGGCTTTCTAAGTTAAAGAAGGAAGACTTAGTGACAATAAATATGAATCATAGACTGATTCAATCTGTATTTACTTGGTTCTGAAGTCATCAGCAGCCAGCCTGGCATTGTCGATCTGCAAGACCAACTTGGCATTGTTTGTCTTGGCATACAAAATCTGGAAAATAAGACAAAAGACTTTGGATGAAACAAAGAATCACAGCAACTCAGAATAGTAACAAGATGCACTATGTAAGAATACTGATTCCTAGCCCAAAGATTTTTTGCACTGTGAGCAATACATCCAAAATGAATGTGTTTAGATGTTTTGATTTATATAGGCTTTATTTCTTTAACAGAAATAGTTCATGCTCTGAAACCTGTCATTCCCATTCAGAAAATCCTCAAGTATTGCTTATTTACAGCTATAAGCAGTGAGACATCACAGAGGTTTGCATGGAAGGAAATCAAAATAAATGGAAGATGACTCATAATTAGGGACAGATAAGAAATATTCTTTCAGCATTTATACATTTTCCCATTCTTCTCCCAAAGCAGAAATGGGTAATTTGAAATGTTTTTAGACCTGATAGTGCCCAGTAAACACCACCTGTTTTCATGGACAACCTATCAAGTGGTTAGGAAAGCTTTAATGGGCCTTTACCTGTTGCTGAAGCTCCTCCAAGGTCTTATAGAAAGCCTGGAAATCAGTGCATACGTAGGGGACTTGACATTCATACCACTCACGAATCTTGCATTCCAAGTCAGCATTCTCCTGCTCCAGGTGACACACTTTCTCCAAATAGCAAGCCAGGCGGTCATTGAGGAACTGCATAGTTTCCTTTTCATTACTATTGAAAATCCCTTCATCACACCATCCAGCAAACCCTGGGCCATAATAACCAGAGGGTAGAAAAGAACTAGGCAACCAGCTTCCTAATCCAGAAGATCCCAGTTTAACAGAAGAAGCTGAACTATGTCTTCCACCATATGAGAGACCTGGAAACCTGGAAGGACTACCAGAGCAGACTGAAGAAAGCCGAGTGAAAGCACCACCTGTGACACACGATCCCTTCCCAGGCTCAGAAGAGATAGTTTGGGTATAATACTTGGAAGTCATAACGTTAGTAGTTAAGGCTAGCAGGTTTCAGATTAGCTGGAAAGCCCAAACTGCCAATCTAAAGCTGTCCTTCCTCAGTGGCACAATTTTATACCCTGCGCAATGGGTGTTGGCAAAATACACCAGTTGTTTCTCTCAGGAAACCTGACACCAGTTTCCTAAATACATTGCACTGTTCTGTTATTCAGCTGCTTGTCTAGTTAATTTCCTCATAAAAAAGTTTCCATCAGTCAGGACTCATCAAGCTAATTTTTGCCACTTTAATGTTACTTTTATTACATCAAAGGGACCTTTCTTCATACCTAAACAACAAACCCTGCTGACTAGGCGGGGGTAAGTTAAGAGGGCAGTTGTACTATACAGCTTGGGTTTGCAGCCATCCTGGGGCAAGTCTTTCCCCCACATTTGTCCTGCTAGAGCTAGCTGTGTTGTGAATGGGACATAATGGTAAAAATCTTGTCCCAGTTCTCAGCCCATCGGAACAATGGGTATCTTTGAGTTACTATGCATTGGACTTAGACTCAAGTCCCAGCTCTCCCATCTCTTTCAGCCTGAGCAACAGAAAGATTTAGCGTATGACACAGACCTTGCTGATCTGGCCTGGGAAGAAAGTGATTTTTATTATGCAGTAAAGAGTTATGTTGTCGTAATTTGAAGGGAAATCTTTTCCAGTTTTGTTTTGTTTTGTTTTCCCAGTGTGAAGAGTTTTGAAGTAGAAACTATTCTTGGGAATATGTGTGCAGTTCATTTTATGGGAGTGTTGCCTTGCCAGTGGTGGCTTCACTGAAGACTAAAATTCTAGGCATGGGACCTGGGGCAATAGTGTAGTCTTTTTCTTAAAGAACTAGATAGAAAAACATAAAACTATTTGATGTTTGTGGATGTAGGTGTGTGCTGGGGAAGAAGCTGGAGGCACAAGGAAAGCAGCAGCCCT